CAAATGTGATATAATTATTTATATCATCATTGGCTCAGTTTCTATTGTTCTCACCAGGTTGATTTCAAACGAATATACCTTCTGGCCTACTGTTTGAAAGCAGGGGGCGGAATTTAAATATTTCGGGGGAGAGGGGGGCTGAAATAATTGCCCTAGATATGCGGTTGATATGAAAATATCAACCTCTTCACAAGCGGTTGATATGCATGTTCATATCAACCTTTTGAACAGGTTGATATGTTCATATCAACCTCATTAATAAATTAATGAGGTTGATAAATACATATCGACCTCTAAAGAGGATCTCCCCTCTCGTCTGGATAGACGCTGGACGTCCCCTGGACGAGAAAGAGATATCAGCCGTACCTCTGCCCGTCACTATCGATCATCCGGCGTCAGAGAACATGCTGCAAAACCCTAGTCAAATTCGCACTCAGCGAATTTATACAAAAATATCTATTGTTTGCTTGTGGGACGTGAAATAAAGTGAAATTACACATTGTGCATCAATCAACTACAACTTATTGCAGCTTCTGAAAGACAGTATTTTTCACCTCGCTCTCACTTTCCTCTCCGCTATATGGGAGTTCTATTACTGCATCTAAATCTAGTTGACAATCACTGTCCGAAACCTTGTCACTAGTAAACACATTCTGCGCAATATGCAGATCCTCGTCACTTTCATCCTCCATAGCCAGCGATCAACAAACAACGTGAATACTTCTACACCATGTTAATTTAAATGTAAAAGGCACTTAAACCCGTCGACTGCATGCATAACATATTTCTTCTACTTGCAACACAATACACTTCACACGGCACCAGTCATTTCAACTAATTCAGTACATCCTCTCTCATATGCAAATCGCACAACTTCAATCCTTATGTGAAAACTGCCTAACATCGTATTGTCAGCATTCAAAATTAGCAGTCCTATAAAAACCTTATAATCAAACAATGTTTCTCACTTCGCCTAGTGATGATATAAGCCGGTTATATACCTTACACCTCAGTGTTTATGCGATATCAACCTCGGTTGATATTTCGCATAAACACTAAGGTGTAAGGTATATAACCTTTACATATCTTTAAATAAACAAATGACGAATAAAACACTTATTGAATTAATTTTCCTATTATTAATATTAAAATCGTTAAGTCATCTGACTCTCTTATCCGCCTCAACTTTAAGCTTTGGCAGATAGTTATACAAACTTCATATCAACCTCAATATTCGATAATTGTTAATTAACATTTATTTGTAATATTGTAATATAAAGTAATCACTTCATCAATTACAACTCCTTCTCGACAGTTGTCACCCGTTCCATATATATCTCAAACTCATTAATAATTCTTGAGCAAATTAGCGAATGAACTCACCCTAATTCGTCACATGATTGAGGTTGGATGCCGCAAGGAAACACGCTAAAAATCATATACCATCACTGTTGTTAGATGAAAAACGGTTTTGATCTAATAACAGAGATCCTAATTACAAGTCAAAACACAACAATATACTATAATAATATATATAAGCCAATGAAATGTTTTCGTTTGAGATGTTGTGTAAACAACTCGTTTCTCGTGTTTCATCAGGGGACCAAACACTCGAAAACAATAAAACACTCGCGCTTCGCGCTCGTGTTTCATACAGTTTTCTCGTGTTTGGATCCCCTGATGAAACACTCAAACTCGTTGTTTACATATAACATCAAGACCTCTCATAATTTATGCCTATATAAATTTCAGTTATTTCAATTTAGTTACACTCTGCAATATACCATCAAGTATATATGGATCCGTCGACTGCTCGATGTCATGTGGATACTATGGAAAAAAGATGGCATCATATATAACCAGCTGCGTTATGCCAGGTATTCTTTAGTACGTGTTCAGTGTGTGAACCAGAGCTGGAGATTGTCGTTTGCGATGCTACGATCGTTGCCTTTACAAAACAATGGTTTTAAAAGATGTTACCCTCAGACTCCTGTTGAAAGTGCAAATATGATGACTGGACGATAAGTATTTTTAGTTGTGCCATTTCGTTTGCATATGTGGGCGTTTTTAACTCTAACGGCAGTATTGGTAAGGTCAAATGATAATGGTCAAAAGTTAAATTGACGTTGAATGAAGAATATAATGTTTAATAAAACTTGTATGGGAGTCACACTTGTATATTTGACATACCGCTGAGTATGATGAGAAGAATATAGTGTTTGTCGACCTCGAAATTTTTACTTTGTCGATGCAACACGTCAAAAAGAATAGATCAGTACGTAGATCCTGGTCATTCCTTTTCCTTTCATGGTATATTCACGCTGTTTTGTCCACATGGTAATTTGTCGTTTGGTATTTCTATACGAGGCGAAGCCGAATATATATTTAGGTCTGATAAAACACTGCTGCTCATTGTTTTAAATTGCTTCAAAAACGATCTATCTAGTAAGTTCATTAGACACAACGTATTTTTTGAAATCGAGAAAATCAAGGTTAATTAAAGTTTATGTAAATCAAGGGAAATCTCTATCAGATATGACTTTTATCTTTTTTTAAAATGGAAAAGCCTTCACCTTAAACAAGACTAACAAAACTTACATAGTTGAGTAGAATTTTCAAGCTGTTAGCTGCAACGACCCCTCGCCTAGATTTTCCAAACATTGTCTCAACATGAAGTATTCGTAATTGCGCCAACACTGAACGCAGGCTCGCGCTGCACGTCATGTTAGTCATGGCAACACGATAATTGTTTTTGTATCTGCGAAGCAGATATATATGCTACAGCAAACGTGTCGTGACCGTATGTTAGCACATAGCCATTCAGCGACGAGATTATATAATTGAGCCAATTTAAGCCAATCAGAGATTAGTTCACATCAGTGAACTGTAAAAAACCTGGAACGATAACTCAAGTAAACATGCCCATACTTGCTTGAAGCCAAGATGGCGGCCAATATATGCGTGTTTTTTGCGTGGCTATGTCACGAAGTGTCGGTCGGCAGAGAACGCATGGTAATGGCGCGATTTGATTTTGTATTGAAAGCCCGACAAATTTGAGGTTTTTTATTTCAATTATGTAAGATTTTTGCATTCTTTTGACAGCAATTATAATACGAAATATATTTCTTGGTAATAAGATACAATCAATCGTGTATTAAAGTTATTTTACAAGGATATTGAGCGGCATCTTCCACAAAAAAAGTCGAACGTTCCAACAGCGACGAATTGCTTCAGTTTCAGCTATATTTGTGGACTCCGGTCGACGAATAATTGATTATAAGATAAGTATTGTATTATTTTTACTATGATAACTATTGGTTTTTAAACAAGATCAACTTGTTCAAGTTAAACGATGCCTGTCACGTACTGGGCATTCCATTTTCAATTCTGCACGACAGACTCGCTGCAGTGCTTCCCGTACTGTATTGTATGATTAAAACAGTATTAAAAAGGAATCACACTCTAACGATTTCAATGACATAATTTTCGACCAGATGACAAAACTTTTCACACATATTTATAACAAATTATGAACTTTGTATTTGTCTTGTAAATCGAATGAATATATATATATATATATATATATATATATATATATATATATATATATATATATATATATATATATATATATATATATATATATATACATTAATAGGCCACATAAAATAAATTCCTTGATTGTCATCACCGCCAGACTGTATTTTCAGAGCCGTGTGAAAATTTTTTATATTTTGTTATACAATATAAATGTACCGCCCGACAAAATATTTCAAGACAGTTAAGTTTTTATATTGGGTTTTTAGTGCCATTTTAAACTGCCAATTTGAAACAAACAGAACCTTGAAAGAAATTTCATTGCATTTTAAAGGAACTTCGCATTCAGTTCAAGGGTTCAGTCAGTGTTTGTGGAGAAATATGTTTATTTCGGTTTGTGACACTTCACTTTGGAAATCACAAAAATATTAAATGTTAGGAATTATTTTTTTATTCATTGATATATAAATATAAAATATAAACCTCCCGCATCTTCGAGATTTTCAAAGTGTAGTGATGAGAATCAAGGAATTTATTTTATGGGGCCTTATTATTAGACTTTAACTGGATAATTTAAATTCAATTTATTGTCCCTTGAATAGGATTAACTTTGTTAAACGGTGCCTGTTACTTGGCTGTCCCTTATGTACCACATTTAATTTGCATTAAAACGTTTCGCATAAGTAAAAAGACGCAATGTAAGATATTGGTCAGCACAGTGTTTGACAAGCTTTATCCGATGTTCATCTTCCAACACTCTTTCGTTGATGTCTTCTTCATGTTCTGCAAACAGGACTTGGTGTATATCAACAAATTGGTGACATACACTCATAATCATTGTCTTCTTCAGATTTTTTTTTTTACTAATGCTTTTTCCTTCTTTGCATACGTTTCGTTTGAACACAAGCTCAGCATACTCAATGATCTGGAACACAGATTTTGACGGTATTTTCAGACCACCATTGTTCACAAACAGTGTAAAGGCAGATGCAGCTGCAGCACTGTTGTACCGAACACCACAGCAATCTTGATCAGGGTTGGTAGATGGTTGGGAAGTTAGGCTAGTGATGCAGTCAGGACATGTAAGCAGCTTTACCAGTTTTGATACAATATATCCTGAGACGCAGAACAATATGTTGGCGGTGAAGTCACTGTGAGCTTTCTGATCCAATAGCTCTACCATGGGTTGTTCTTCATCTTCCTCCTCTTCCTCCTCAGCATCCTTGTCCAGTAAGGGGGTTTTGTGCTTCCTCTTATGAAAAAAGGTATCACAGTCGAGGTGATTGTGGTTAGGTCTGTAAATTCTGTGGAGTTTGCATTTTTTCATGCAGTTACAGCATTTCTCAGTAGCATTTTCCGCAGGGAATATTTCAGCTGTAAAGTGTTGGGGTTGTTGTTCCAGCCACCTTGTGCTCGTATACATGAAAAGAACAGTTCAACATGATCTTGTGAGTACTTGTATGTTAGCACATATTTTTGAATGGGTTGTTGGTGCTTGATAGCATTTCATGGGCCATTTCAATTGTTGACTTTATGTCTGCTACAAAATCAATTATAAATGTCTTTCGAGGATGTGTTGAAAGAAGTTGGGCAGGAACTGTATCTGTTTTCAAAGATAGTAGGTAATCAGCCGTAGATCTTAATGTTGATTCCCAAATATCCTGTGTGTTCAATCTGAGGGGTTGTTTGTAGCATTTTCCTAATGGGTTGCGAGAATTTAGCATATCGAATAGTCTGTCAATTGCTCTGCAAAATATTACTGTTCCTTGGCTGTCTGTAAAGTCAGGTAGCTCCATTACGTTCTCTAGGAATTCAATTGCATCTGCTACCGATGAACTTAGTGTTTGTGCCGCCAGGTTAACCTTCATTTTATGTTCTTCCTGGATTAAGCACAAATGTGGCATGGATCCAATATGACATATACGTGGTAATCTTCTGTTGGATGCTTGAACTTTGTAACCATGTCCTTGTACGTTGTTCCAAATTTACAGCCAAGGAGACTGAAGGTGCTGAGATTTACTGATGTTCCATCTGCAGTGATAGACCATACCCGTAGTCCAGATTCTGCGGCCATTTCAAGTGCTGTTATCAAAAGCTGTGCCTGGATCCTCGCAGAAATTTTATTGCCGAGAAAGTAACCAATGGGACATTTCCAGTGTGTTCTGGCTCCAACCAACAGAAAGACTAGTGCTTCAGAAGCTAATGTCTCTGGATCTTCAGGGTTTACTGTGCCATAGTTTATGAATCCATCATATCTATCATTCTTCTTGTCCCACACCGTCTCCTTTCGAATTGACATGGCATCCATAATGAGGTCACAGTCTTTTTTGTCTGGACATTGTTTGACTTCATCTGACAGTGCCTCGAATGCCTCTTTCAGGAACCCAGGTTCACAATCTACTGCGCTTGCCCACTTCCGAATCAAAGAAGGATTGGGTATGGGCAAAATTGAACGTACATATTGATATGCTTTTGGAGAATAAAAGTATAAGGTTAATGCGAATTCTTTGATATCATCAGTATAGCGGCGGCCACATGGCAAACTCTGTGAATTTTTTTGGACATTTTGGAAAATGGACAATTGAATTTTGTCGAATGATTCATGTAACTTATCTGCCACATTTGATTTTATGATGAGCTCTTCTTGCAGTTTGTCAATAAGTTCTGCCATGTTCCTTATCTTCTTCTTACATCTTCGCAATTGCTGCTGTAAGTTTTTAATTTTATGTTTTAATTGTTTTTCAGAAATTTCTTCATCTTGACATGAATTACAATGGATTTCTTGAAGTGGTGTCTGCTGTATTAGTTTTTGCCGTTTTCCATAGCAGTGATCATGATATATTGTTGACAATAGATGTTCATGTGAAATTGGACGTTCATGGCCTTCATGGGTGGAACTTCCTTCAGGCATTTCCAGTCGGCTTCTAGCCTCTTTTGGTATGCTTTGCGGTTTGAATACCAATTTGAATAATGATGGTACAGCATATTTTTTTAGCCTGCACGGCCCTGTTGAGGATGGGAGTATAGTGTAGTCACATGCTTCAAAATGATTACTGCAAATGTAGCTGTGGCGTGTTGCCCTCCATTGTTGTCCATCATTTCTTGCTCTCTTAACTATATTTTCCCACTTCTCAAGATGTCTTTCATCTTTTAAAGGAAACCTGTATTAATGAAAATTAGCTTTTTCATTTTGTCATTATGAATTTGTACCCATTGTCATAATAGTGTTTACTATTGTCATGTAAATAAATTAAATATTAATAAATATTTAAAAGTTTCAATTGTTTTGTAATTTCTTACCTGTGAAATGCAGTATATGTTTTGTTTTCATTCTCCTTTGAGCATTCACTTGTGTAGCCACAGACTACACCAGTAAATGGCATTTATTATTACAGTCGGTAACAAATTAATTTTGCAGTTTTCAAACTTTTTTTCAACTTTGTTTACAAAAATGTTAAAAAATAACAAATTACTTGCGCTCTGCCAGCCAGATGTGGACTGGGGCGATATGAAAAACACTCATTTTTCCCCGAAGATTTTTTACATGTTTAATCTGATTTTGACTTTAAAAAAATAAGTTTCTGTATGCTCGGAAATGAATTTTTAACAGCATCTAAGCTTTTCTCAAATAGCTGTTGCCAACATGTTCCTGAACTCTTTCTGGAAAGTCTACTAACACAGAAAAACTAAAAATTTTCGCGCGGTATTTTCGTGTTGTTCGTCTTATACGTGTGATATTTCGGTTGTTTGTTAACCATTTTTTATTTTAAACACATTTATTTAAAGTTATTTTGCCCTTGTTTCATATTTGAAGGAGTTGGCAAGTGCTCAACAAAAAGAAAATGGCAAAATTTATCGATTTTCAAAAAATATTTTTCGACGCCATTTTGTAAAAAAGGACTGGGGCAACATGCAAAATCATCACTCATGAGTGGCTTCAAAAATGGCGGCGGAGTTATCGTTCCAGGTTATTTACAGTTCACTGGTTTACATTAATTGTTTACATCGCGCCCGCATCTAACATGCGAACGGGCGTAGTTTGGCTTCGTGTTTATTGTAATATTCTTTGCCTTTTTTTGGCTTCAAAAACATATTGATTTTGTCTTGTTTTCACCAATCTACTTGCGATATTATTGCGAAGTTATCTATCACTTAACATGGAAACTTATCCTCATCTGGTAAGTAGGAAAATACCACATATTTTATTATATAATGCAGTAAAACAATCATTGTGTGCAAAACATATATTATACATAATTATAGTAGGCAATATATTTGCCAATGAACAATATCACAGGAAACTAATGTTCTCTGAGGAGATATCCTGTATTTCTGTAAATCTGTTCAAAACAACAGTCCAACTAAGCTGTCATCAAATGTGGTGTTAGAGCAATGGTTAAGTCATAAGATGTTACCAGTTAAAATATTTATATACATTTTGGTTTTACACATTAGAGTTAATAAACAAAATGTTTACAAACATTTTCAAATGCCAATAAAAGAATCCGCACCCTCCCTACTCATTACATTGTCATCTTGCTTTCTAACATAAATGTTTTTGTTTAGAGATTGATAAAAATGAATGTACTGTACTGGATATTGGCTGGATAATTTTGTCAGAGCAACCCACTTGCAAGACAATCTTGCCTAAATTTATCAGTATGGAAAATAACTTAACAGCTACAATAATCATATATTATATATGGATGGTTCAGATCAATGGCACAAAACTAAACTTGTGATACCTTCTACTCAACCGATTTTCTTCCACAACACAAATTGTTTTTGTGTGGGTATGCTGTGTTAAATCCAACAGTGTGATATATCATTAACTGCGCACAGGATTGAAATTGAATTATATAGTTACTCATGTCCTTCAAAACATTCTCTACTGTTCAGTGGTCTTCGATATATCATTGACTCATAGCTACAATAATGCATGTTCCTCGAATAGTTTGTGTATGTTACCCAATAGTTAACATTGGCAAGTGTAAACAACAAGTGACACAACTTTTGCTTCATATGATTACAATAAAGTTTTGAAAATTCGATGAGTATGGGTATTGATTGTCAAGTGACAGTTTACTATATAGCCGGCTGCCGGCTGTATAGACACTTTGAACATTGTTTGCATGAAATTTTTATTTTCTGACTGCATAATTATCTGTTACAATCATAATCACATTATAAAATTATTTAAATTTTCT